CCCCAAAACCCCAAAACCCCAAAACCCCAAAACCCCAGCAAGCTTCAAACAACTTGAAATAGGTAAATTTGAACGACACCGATTATGCACAAGCCTAGAGAAACCTTTAATTAACAGAGACCTGTTTTTCTCGAAGAAAGGATGCCTTGATGTGCCCCTGAATTGTCTTTGAAGAGAATGCAGAGGAAGATCAACGGTAACCAACCTGCCTTTTGAGACTTGCTTCAGAAATTTCTTTACTTTTGTCATCAAAATTTATTCGAGATGGAACCATTCTTTCTCTGGTAGTCACCTTTGAAGGGTAACCTGATGGGGAGTTCGGGCTAAATAGAAGTAAGGAGGATTTACTTACCTAGTCCTGAAATTTGTACTTCTCTCAGAAGTCCTAGGATAAGGAGACAGATACTTCATTGGACTCTCAAATATTTTAAGCTCCTCAAACTCGATCTTTTCAAGTAAGATATCTTTCCAAATCGAATTACGAGGGTCTTCGAGACAATAAATTTCAACAGTTTTTGATTCTGAATACAGTTCTAGGATCCAAGTACATCATGCCACGAACTCTTCAGTTTTAAAAAGTAAGGACTTATGAGCTAGTTTTAGGACATTTTCTGGGTCAAGTTTCTCATCATAATTCGTGAGAATAACCAACCAGACGGTTGCAAGAGATACGGTCTCTGTTGTGAAATCATAAATTCTGGTTGACTTCATGCATAGCTCCAATATCGACTCTCAGAAATTTTCAAACTGGAACAAGTTCATTTTTGGTTGAAAAATTGTCAAATAGATATAAAAATGCTGCGACCAAAAATTGTAGATGTTGTGAGAGGCTATTTTCCATTCAAGGATCTCAAGGATCGATTTTTCAAGTGATTGAATCTCATTCTCAGAAGTCTTTAAATGAAGGCTTCTCAAGATATCGGAAAGATGAATAAATTCTAAAGGTAATCAGATTGCTACTGAGAAGTCGTACCTTTTTCTTCAAGTTTCATAGCCATTAAAGTTCATGTTACTACTACTGGCTCTAACTTATTCATATTATCAATATCTATGATGAATCATTTTGGCAGATTTACCTTTAAGTTTTCACTGAGTGTAGTATTTCCTTCTGTCTATTGATGACTTCTGGGCAGTGCTCATTTGTTTATAATACAATAAAGTAGCCATCAACTTGTCCATGATAGAAACCACACGAAAAGCAGTAGATTTCCGAAATCTGAAGTGATTTCAATTCTCAAAAATCCATGGGACTATTGATTCTCTGTTTTGGAAGTACTCTGAGTAATTGCCAAGATCGCTAAAACTATGATTGTCCCCGTGTTTAATAAACTTTATTTACCTGATAGATTTAATGCTTCACCCAGTCCTTAATCTTGAGTTTGAGCGAGGGTTATCCAATCTGCTCCATCATTGGGTAAATTCTCCCTGGAAATCTCATGATTTCAGGCTTTCCATTGCAAGAATTTGGTCTTGTTCAAATTCTGTAATCTAGATTTAAATTTTATATGGATGTTTAAAGTCTGCAAAAATTCCGGGAGTCTAGTCACTTACATCTGCTTCTTCTAAGATATCCTTCTGGGATGAGGCAAAAGTATTTGTTCTCATATAGACATCATCCTTGCTCTCTTCATATCTCCCTCCTGAATAAAAGCTTGATTTGTGATATTTATTAGTAGTGCAATATTCTGTAGACCAGGCTACGCTTCGGTTAGGATTTTGAGTGATTTTTGCATTACAGGTATCATCTTCCATCTGTGAATCGCTCACAGGACTATTATGCCTAGAGAAGTTAGAGAATTCATCTATAGGCTTACCTTGGCCTAATAAATAATTGACTCATATTATTTTTTATATTTCAAATATTAGTTAGTTTATGGGGTTTTGGGGTTTTGGGGTTTTGGGGG